TGCAGGAGTGAGAAGGACCAACCTCAGAAGGTCAGGGATTCCTCCTCACTGCTAACCCTCATGCCAAAGTTGGATGAACAATTGTTGAGTATGTGGTAAAGGAAAATCCTTGTCCAGGCAAGTGTTGGACTTGAAGTTGACTGAGTGATTCTGTGAGCACACGAACAGAATTGACTTTAGTTTGTCTGGATCGTGTGATCCAACTCATCAAAGATAATTAGATGCTCTCTTGTGATGTTCTAAGCTACTTTGAGTTTCATCTCTCCATTGATCAATTTTGTTTCCAGCCCAGAGATAATTTTCCTGCATGATATTACATGAATATAGAAATGCAGAATAAAGTTATTTGTAAGGTCCAGACAACTTGGAGGCCAAGTATCTTGAACTCACTGAAGGCAGCTAAGTGTTCTTACTCTTTTCACACAACTATAGGGTCTAAGATTTATAAGGGAGCTCAGGCACTGTCCTTAAAACTCATGCATCCCTTCCACAAATTACCTGATAAGTCATCATCCATCCATACTTACCCTAAGTTTTGTCTTCCTATTGTGATTGGACCACAGAGTCCCCCCACACCCACTACTTACATGGGGAGAGGGTAAATTTTCCCTAAAAGGAGGCAGAATTAAGACTTGATTGGTAAAGTTCCAGCTGTGCCTCCCTTGATGTTGCTTCCTCATAGCCATTAACTTTATTGACATGACTTCCTGGTCAACTAAAGGTATAGAAAGACTGAACCACATGAGGCTGGAGCCCTTCAGATTTGGCAGATGTCTCTGCTGACTAGACTTGTTTCCATAAGTTCTACCTTATGATTGAGCTCTGTATGTCCTGAAAAATCCATCAATATTGTTGGACTAATTGGTTGTTATGCCTGCAGACTCACTTATAAGGGCATGGTAAGAATTCTTCAGAAATCTTACCTCCTAAGAAAGTTGGAAAAGACTAATTCATTCAGGGTGGAATGGGAGAAAAAAAATCAGCAACAAAATCAGGAAGACAATGAAGAATTTGGAATTTCAGAAGCCACTTCAACTCAAGAAGGGAGGGAAGTCAGGAGCTCTTTACTCCTATGGGTAGGAAGGCCCAGGGAGATTCTGGCTCAGCTGCTGTGTAATCTCAGATCTATGTAATATTAAACAAGGTTGAGCCTTATTTTCCTCATCTGTAAAATGGGGCCTACCCAACACTTCTTCATCAAATAAAGCAAACTTGACTCACAGGCAGATAGATAGATAGACAGATATGTACACATATACCTCATACATACATGCATAGATAAAACACTTATTGAGCATTTTTGTTCCAGGCATTGTGTTACACACTGAAAATATAAATACAAAGGATTTCCTGTCTTCAAAGAGCTTATATTCTAATAGGTAAAGACAATATGTGAAGAGGAACTGGAAATGGTTGAGTATGGTACAGAGATGGCTAGGAAGTGGCATGAAAGACTGGTTCTGGGCAAGATGAAATTAGATCTCACATCTTAGAGCCCAGTGTCCCAAGGGCAGAGTCCAATGTTCAAGTTGGGGGCAGAGGAGGATAAAGGCTATGTGCAGGAAGCATGGCATATAGATGTCCATTTAGGGTGACATGGAGGCATGATGTCCACCAAGGGAAGGCAAACGTTCACCAATAGAGGTTCAGTGACTTAGAGGTGAATCCAAGACTGTGTCAGTGAGAGGAGGGCTGGGAGATGAGAATGCTGGCTAGTGTGCAGGTTGCATGGTATCGGAGATAGCTGGGAAGTGAGACTAAAAAGACATTTTATTTCTGAGCAATTTCTCTATTGTAATATAAATGTATCTATCATTATTGTTGTTGTTGTCATTTTTGACATTTGTTCTTAGTATCACAAGGCCCACGTTTTGTAAAGACTGTCCCCCCTGCATGTAGCATGAGAGTATGTTTGTGAGGCTTGGAGGGAAACAGAACAGATATCTCCAGTCTCTTCTCCCCTCCCCGTTCTCCAAGGGAGACCTTAATTCCTGCCAAAAGGAGAAGCAGGAAGTTGAGGACATAGTCCTCTCTTCTCTCAGAGGAAGGGGGTACCAGGCTAGAATTATATCTATCTGCTTCCTTAAATACTGTTAATCTAAAGGATATGATCAGATTCAAACTAACTTCTGATCATGATTTTATTGTTGGGGGAGGAAAGAAGAACTTTAGGCTCTATATCCAAGGCTTGATCCCTTTCATTCTGCATGCCAGTTCCACAATAAATACACATAGCCTCAGCCAACAAAATTCATTTATCCAAATTGGTAGCAAAACAGAAATCAGAGAGGGGATACACAGGAGAACATATACCAGGTAAGAGAGAGTAAAGGAGCTCTCCCATTGGGAGTGAGGTAACTCAACTCTGCCTAAGTTGAGACTTCTAGACCTCACCCAAGGGAAAGTTTCCCTAATTCTTTAGTGTAGCACACTGGGAATAGGGGCATGATGGAGACTACCTGCTCTTCCTGTGTCTTCCTTTGGTCTGTTCCTTCAAAAACTTGAAGGTTCATCTTCCCTCTCAGAGCTGGAAGCCAGGAGCGCCCAAAGCAATTGCAGAACCTGGAGCAACTCTATGATTTGACAAAAACTGAAGACTTCTTCTCTCTCCTGCCCTCAACCACTTTGCCCCCACCCTTCACACAAAGCAGAGTACTCATCTCTACAAATCAGAAGAGAGTCTTATACCAACAGACTATGAAATTGGAGTTATTTTAGTATTGTCTATGCCACACTGTTAATTCCCGCAGAGTTAGAAGAGTTTTTATTTTATTTCATATAATGCCTGAAACCATGGCATTCACAGATCCAGGCTTAAGGTATGCTTTTGTAATTCAGTTCTTGGGAACATCCTGTCATAAGTATTAGATTTGGGTTTTGAAGACTTGAATTCAAATGCCTGCTGTCCCACCTATTACGTGAGTGTACATGGACAAATCAGTTCATCTGGTTGAGCTTCAGTTTTCATATCTGCAAAATGGGTATAATGATATTTGCCACATATATCATTCAGAATACAGTCTCTGTAAATCTCTAAGTTTTTTAGAGATGGAAGTTGTTAGAGTGTCTAGATAGTATCATAGAAAGACAGTGAATTAAGAATTAAGAGATTTAGGTTCAAATCTTGACTGTCATGCTAACTCTGTGAATTTGGTTAACTAAAAATCTCAAGGTTTCAGTTTCCTCACGTATAAGATGAGGGAGGAGTAAACAAAATAATTTTTAAGACTCCTTCTAGCTCCAAATACTGATACTTCTTCAGGTAACCAGGGCAGGCTAATGTCACCCAAGTGAGTTTTCTTTCAACTTTGATTCTATGATAATGAAGTCAGTTTCTCTAATCTTACCTTCCATCTTTATAAAATAGCAGTGACAATAGTACTAGCACTACCTACCTCACAGGATCATTTCGAGGAAAGTCCTTGATAAACCTTAAAGTGTTAAAAATACCTTAATTGCTATTGTTATCAGTGCCTCGTGTAGATTTACTCTTTCTGGTTCTGGAGGGCAGAACCAAGACGAATAGGTGGAACAGACAAGGGAGGCAAATGTATCTCATTTTAAGGAAACAAGTTCCCGAAATTAAAAAGTGCCCAACGAAGGATGGGGCTCCCTTATTCCCCATCCCTGGAGGTGGTCAGGCAGAAAGTGAATGATCACTTGTGAGGAGGGTGATCACAAAACTTGTTTTTTCAGGTAAGGGTTGAAGTAGATAATCTCTAAGGATTCCAGCTAGGAGAAACTCTGTGTCTATGAGTTCGTAATGTTTGTTTATTTTACATTGTTTTCCATTTAATCCACTAAATGAAAAGGGGTTATCACCGTGTTCCTGACGTCATGGGGCCATAATTACACATCAGTCGGTGGACTCTTTGCCTTGAACTACAGGCACATGTTCCTGGCAGTAACATTTCTGGTGTAATCATGCATATACTCCGTGTTCCTCTGGCCAGGATGAAGCTGTAGGAGCTAATGTATTCTGAGTCAGACCAACTGCCGCTCATGAAGGGAAAAAAAAAGACTTGCTTGAGTAACCGTAATAATTGGAAAATTATTTTGATAGCCTGAAACAATCTAATATATTACAGAATTTTATTAAAATAATATCAAATCAAATTAACTGCTATTCCATAATGAATTAGGTAACAAGGTAGGCAGATATTAATCGGCCTTGGCTCCCAGGCAGGGGAGCCAGGAATTTATTAGTTCTCTCGGCTTGTGTGAGGGTGAGGACAGAAATCAGTATCACAGACTGTGAGGGAAGCCCCTGAGACAAGGGAGCTTTTCCTTCTTTTTTTTTCTCTCTCCCACTTTCACTTTATAATCCATCATTAAACACTTGTATTTCTTTTATGTTGAGTCTTATGAAATTTTTAATTTTTTAATTGCTTTGTGATTTAGTAATGAGGACTTTTTATTTTGCCCAAATAAGGCATGGGATGCTGATATTGGAATTGTTTCACCTCTGTCCACCTCCCCTAACCTTCGGATTTTTTTTTTCTCTCTCTCTTTCCCCCACCCCCAAGTCCTATTACATGCTGGATAATTACCAGGTGGAGAGATTACCATGCAGACTGGACATTTCCTTCAATAAGGGGCTGGTGATCTTAGGTGACAGACAGGCTGAGTGTCCAGGGCCCTGGGGCAACCAAAGGTGGGGGTGGGGTGGGGTGGGCAGGAAAGAGACTTGCAAATTACCTGATGAATTGGTAATCATAGGGAATATCAATTCAGAAAATGAATTTTTTCTTTCCTTTTTATTTTCTTTTTTCCTTCTCTTATTTTTGCATCCAAATGATCATAGAATCAGAGAATATAAAACTTGGAAGGAAGATCATTCTTTGTCCAAGTTACATAATTACAATAACACAATAAAACAAATATTTATTGTACACTTCCTCCTGTGAAGCTCTGTGATAGGTGATGGAGGAGATTTGAAGTCTGGATAAGATGATAGTCCTTCCCTCAAAGAACTTAGGATCCAGCAGAAACGCATTCCTGTCACATTCAATGTTCACAAAAGACTTTCCTTACAGCAACCTTGGGAGGTATGAAGCTCTGAGTATTTTTATCCTCATTTTTTGTTGTTTTTTAATTGTTTTTCTGTAGTGTCTGATTCTTCATGACCCTTTTTAGGGTTTTCTTGGCAGAGAAACTGGAATCATTTGCCATTTCCTTCTCCAGCTCATCTTACAGATGAAGAAACTGAGACAAATGGGGTTAAGTGACATTCCCAGGGCCATAGAGCTAGTATGTGTCTGAGGCTGGATTTGAACTCAGGAAGATGAGTCTTCCTGACTCCAGGACCAGCACCCTATCCACTGGGTCACCTAGTTGCCTGAAGCTCATTTTACAGAGGAGAAACTGAGGCTGAGAGAGGTGGCTGGTGGCAGAGCCAAAACTTGGCCCCAGGTCTCCTGACTCCAGACTTAAGTAGGGCTCTTTCCACTACACCACCCTGCCTGTCAGTTATGATCCTTTTGAAATTGAAACCTTCTAAAAATTGTGTAATCCTTTTGCCTATTCTCTGCTATGCCATTTGGCTTTTCAAAATGCTCAACAGTTGCCTTGATTGCATTTTTCCCTCTTCTTTCCCTTTTAACATAATAGAAACTTGGTAATCTTTTATAATCTGTGATATGACAGAAAGAACACTGGCTTTGGTGTCAGAAGATCTGGGTTCAAATCCAGCTGGGTGATCCTGAGTAATTAACTTAAACTCTTTGGGCCTCAGTTTGTTCATTAATAAAATGGAGTGAATGCCATTTGCATGGAAGATGTTGTAAACTGTCAAATGAGTTAAGAGATGTGAAAGTGATTTATAAATTGTAAAGCATTGTTAAATAGTAAGTTACCATCTATGTCACCTCAAGCAAATCATTCCATTCCTCTGGACCTTCTTAGTATCACCATCTAAAGGAGAGGGTTGCATTAAATGAGCTATAAGGACACTTCTGGCAAATTCTATGATCCAGTTAAGAATGAACTTCAATATTTAAAATTGAGGAGGTTTTTTTTTCCTCTAGTTAAGGAATTGCTTGCAATTGGTTCCTTATTGATTGATTGATTGATGGATTGATTTAATCTCAGTTTGTTCAGCTAGTGAACTCAAAAGTTTGATTAGGAGACTAAATGTTGGGAAACCTAATGAGTTTGTGCTTCCCAAGGAAAAGAATGCTCAGTTTCTAGGGAAAAAGCTAAAGCTTAAATATTTCCACATATGCTATTACTTTTTTTTCCTAAAGAAAGAAAAGTCACATGTTTTAAATTTTCTACCTTTATTGACAAGAATCTGTCAAATCTCTTTAACAAATGCTCTGATTTAAGGAAACAGCATCTGCTCACCTACAATATTTCATGGTCAGGAACCATCCTGTCTTCGAAGAGGTCCTTATGAAGAAGAAGGTGTGGCTAGTCTTGCTGAAAAGCAACATAAATGTTAGGAAATAAAATGGTGACTCCAATTCCCCCTCCTCCCCAAGGCTGCTCACATTTTGAAGAACTTGGCTAAACTTTTATTTTTCTTCATTGTGTTAGAAAAGTCATTTATTTTTACATAGGCTGGTCTGTTTTTTTTTCTTTGAAGAGACAAGGGGGCTATCCTTCAGATTTAATTATTTTGGGGGATTGAGATTGGAATTGTCATTGCTTTTTACCTCCTTTTGAGGTAAAAAAGTCTGTTCAATGAATAGTTGAAGTTCCTCAGACTGGACAGAATATCCTGTGTCTTGGGAAGCAGTAACTAGGTGTTGTCATCAATGCAAATGTGGAAAGGGAAATAGGAGTATATACCTGGATCTGTGATTATAGCCTTAACAACTCTTTTTATTGTTAAGTGAATTTATTTTTTAATTGAATTGTACGTGGTGCGTGAATATTTTACTGTGTTCTGATACTAAACTGTCCTGAGCTATGGATGGTTCTGAACAAGTGGTAATAGTTATCAGGATTGGTTGACTTTATGGTTGACTTTTTGATTTAAACATGATTGAAGTGAGGGAGTGAGACATTTGAGTGACTGGATCACCAGATACAAATTTTTGGCACCCTGTGGCTTCCCTACTCCTGGCAGTATGCATTGGGTTCTATCAATGGAACATAGACATACCCATATTGATCCTATAGAAGGAAGTCAGGGAAGCCAGAATTTGGAGATGAGGAGGGAGAAAATTCCAGACAGAGGACAGACAAGGAAAACAAAGTCAGGAGATGGAGTGACCTGTTCAAGAAATAGCAAGGAAGACAGTATTGCTGGATTGCTGAGTGCCTAGAAGGGAGTAAGATGTAAGAAGCCTGGAAACATCAAAAGGGAACTAGGTTACGAAAGACTTTGAAGTCAAATACAACATTTTCTTCTTAATCTTGGAGTAACAGGTATCAGGCAGGATGATAAAAATGACATGCATTTTGTCCTGTTGTTGCATGGTTAAACTTTCTTCCACTAGGTCTCTATATTTTGAAAGCTTTTCATCCCATGTAGTTTGAAGATTGCAAATATTTGGTGCAGTGAGATCAATTTAAAATGTTGTCTGCGTGGATCAATGCTATACTCAGTCAGTTGAAGGCAATAATTCTGTTTGTAAAAATCTTCCAATTCCAGTCCAATTAATTTGATGACTTTTCAAGGACATTTTTGGGTTATTATTGTAATACAGAGATTTATTGTCTTTTAATTTATAAGAGTTAGCTTCTTGTGTAAAATCTAGCCCCCTGATTGTATCTTCCTAAGTATATAATAGATATCAAAATTTTGTAACCTACAGTCATACCATGCACACTTCACTTCAATATATAATCTGTATCAATCAGTAAATCTGAATTCCTTAAGAATAATAACCTTTCTGTAATTTCTGGAGACAACCTGATTTTTAATTGCTATTATAAGCCCTTCTATTTCTATTAACAAGTGTGTATGACTCAGTTATTTGATACATCTTTGTTGGTATATTAGTGTTTGAGTTCACATGGATATCACCAAGGAGAATCTTTTGATTCTACTTTTTAATCTTAATTGCTTCATTGTCTCTGTCTGAGGAAAGCCTCCTTTGGTTACATTTCAATCAGTTAGTCAATTAACATTTATTAAATGCCTGCTATGTACAAATCCAGTAGCATTTACTTATCATACTTTACTATTTCTTTGTGAAGTTATCTGCTTCTTCCAAAACTATTTCCATAAATTTTAAACCTGATCTTCTCATGATCTGAGAACATCTATCAGTACTCTTTCTCAATTTTAACGAGGAAGTATTAGTCTTTTTAGAGCTGCCTTGGAGTAATGAGCCTTGTGTTTTGGTAACATTTTGTGAGTTTTTGTTTGTACATCTAAATTCCTCATTGTACATTTTAAAATGCCAAAAAGATATGTAAAACTGATAGTGTGCAGGTGTTAAGTGCTCTAAATGTGTCCTTCCTATTAAGCTTTGATTTAAGGAGTGAGGTCAGTCTGTTACATTCATAACCTTATCTTACTATTTAATATTCTTATACCTGATGAATTTTGCCTCTAGAGAAGTACCAGGTATTTGTAAGTATCCCCTTCCTCCTTTAGTTCAATTTGACTGCTGTATTCAAATTTGAAGCTTTCAATCTCTATTTTTCTTCAGTATTCATCAAGAATTTTATACTTATATTAAGTTTATCAATGGAGAATATTTGTGCAAGATGAAATAGCTATTTAGCAACAGTGCCTGTGTAAGCTATTATCAATGTAAAACAGGTGATTAATAGGATTTTTTTTTTAGTAAAATTCCTTCTCTGACTTGAAAGACATGCTTAGTTTTAGTCAGGAATGGCAATAATGGTTTTAAGGTTAAACAGAAGCATTTTAGGCTTAACTTGACTCCCTAGAAGATGTCACGATTTCTATAATTTATTCTTGATATCATTATGTCATTGTAGACAGCACTTTTCTAAGTAAACATCAAGATATTCTATTGTTCTTAAACTCTTGGATAGGTTCCATATGTTTACAGTACACTGTCTTCTGTTTACGTAAATGTAATAAAACTTCATAGATGCACCCTCAAAATTGATGTTTAATAAATTATGTCATTGTAAGGAGAAGAGATAGAAAGGATGTGAAAATGACAAAGCAATGTGTGGCACAGAGTGCTGGACCAATCATAGACTTATCCTTTCCAAGCTAAACATTTACATTCAACAAAAGCAACAGTCCGAAGGCAAGATGACTACCAGAAGATCTAATGTCAGCAGATTACAGCACTTCTCTACAGGTAAACAGTTTGTTGCTAACTTGAAGGGAAAGTTGGCTATTGTGGAGAAGAAAAAGATTGGGTAACTTTCAGGAATTTGGTGTATAGCACCACATTTATTCATCTGGGCCAGAACACTCAGAAACATCAAGATCAGTTTGGTGAAAATGATGGGCCAATCCCGAAGCTGCTAAACCAAAAAATGAGAACTCCACAGGGTTTACCAGCAGGGTAGTTCATCTGTCTCTAAGAAGGCAGTGTTTAACACCATAAAAAAATAAAGTGCAAGTGAAGCTTAGAGAGATGCAAGATTCTTAGTTCAATATGAAAGCAGATAAAATTCATTTTCACTCTGATACTAACAATACAAAGCACTTTTATGATATCGTGAAGGTTATTTATGGGCCAAAAATCTACAGTGCATCTGAATTACTCAATACTTATGGAGCCACATTGATTAGTGATAAGGACATGATCCTGGAGAGATAAACTGAACACTTATATCATGTTCTCAACAGACCATCATCAGCCAAAGCTGAAGGTATTGACTTTACCTCAATCCCTCTTTAGCAGAACTTCCAACTGAAGAAGAGGTTTTAGATACCATTAGGCTCCTCTGGTGTGGCAACCTGCCTGGTGCTGATTCTATTCTAGCTGAGATTTACAAGATGGGGGATTCACTGCTCATACCAAAGCTGACTGAAATCTTCTAGGTTATATGGCAAGAGGAAATTATCTCCCTGGAGTTCAAGGATGGCTCTATTGTCCATCTCTGTAAAGGAAAAGAAAATGAGTTGTCCTGTGACAATCATGGAGGGGTCTTTTTCTTAGTC